CTGATCTATGTAGACCTTGTTTTTCCCATTGTTTAGAATTCCAACATGCAGGGCACCTGGGTAGCTCAGTGGGTTGAGACCTCTGCCTACAACTCGGGTCATGGTCCCAGGGTCCTGGGATCGAGCCCCACATCGGGCTCTCTGCTCAGCAGGGAGCCTGCTTCCTCCTCTCTCTCTGCCTGCCTCTCTGCCCACTTGTGATCTCTCTCTCTCTCTGTTGAATAAATACATAAAATCTTTAAAATTAAAAAAAAAAAAAGAATTCTAACTTGCCAGAAAAAAAGATAATAGTGATGCTTGCCTTCGTTATCCACTGAAGAATGTACATTTTCTTCTCAAATGCCCAAGTCTGGACCAGGACAGTCCCATCTGATCTGCCGTAAGGTGGAGCGCAGCCTCTGTGCCCAGCCAGCCAGAGGACTGCCTGCGAGTCCTCTGTTGGCAGGCTACTCTTTGCTAAACACCATCTTTTACCTTTCCCCTAGATCAGCCTGAAAATATCCTGGAGGACAAAATGTGAGTCCCTGATTCAAAGAATCAGGCATCAGGAAGGCCTGAGGTTCCTGGCGGCTGTGGGAAGGCTGAGAAAGTGCAGATGTCACAAAGCAGGGGAGGCTGGTTTCCTCAGCTCCTGTGGCCAAAGACAGAGCTTGGCAGGAGCCTCAGGGAGGAGCTCGGCGACAGCTTCATGCAGCTGCTCCCAGGAGGTGAGAAGCAGAGGAGGATGGGGCATCTGTAGCCACAGTGTTGTGTGTTATATGACTGCAGTGTACCCGGAGCTGCGGAGAGAAGCCTTCTTCCTATTTATTCACACAGCACAGTGTGGCTCTGGGGTAGCAGTGAGGGGGCGCTCCAGCCCAGAGCACAGACAGAGCTGAGACTGTGGCTAGTTCTACGATGAGGCTGGTGTGTCCTGGAGAAGCTCGGTGCGCCTCTGTGCAGATCAGCGGGTGAGCCGGTGGCAGGGTTTGGACAGCTGAGCCAGTGGTCCTGTGGGCCTGGTCCCCTGTCAGCACAAGGCCTGGCCTGGCTGGTGTCCTCTGTGACCAAGGACAGACAAGACAGACTCTCTAGTGCACCATAGTGACATGAGGAGATTTTTCTCTGCCTTCTATTTACAAAGACAGAACTTTGGGTCAATATTCCTGGGGAACCATTCACTAAAGACTGGAAATGAGAAGTGAAACTGAGAGAGACATCCTTCCCAAGGCTTGTTCTGCCATCTTGATACTCAAACCCGGTCTCCATAGTGAAACAGCCCTGACTCCCTCCTCACATTTTACCAAGGACTCTGGGCAAGAAGCCAGTGGTGACAGTGGCTGGGGACGAGGACTGGAATGCCCACACAGCTTTGCTTTAAGTGTCCTCTGGTCTGGAGGTTGGTTTCCTTCCAGAGAACTGTTGGCTGCGGCAGAGGGCTCAGTTCGTCTTCTCCAGGGGAGCTGCTGGGTTTCCCACGAAGTCCCTGGAGCCAGGATGGGCTGAGGCCAAGGCAGAGAGGGATATAGATCCTTCAGCTTCTGACATCCTTCCTCACAGTCACTTGGGCTCCTAACCATCACACCAGTCATGAAACAGGTGTAAGCCCCAAGTCCGATCAAGGATCAGAGGTGCTCTCCCCAACCAACACCCCCACAAACCCACACACAGTAAGAGCCTTGCATGGCTGCAACCAGGCATGCTCAGGGGGAATGTGACACAATGACAGAATTTTCCCTCTGCCTGCAGATATCAGCCGCTAGCATCTTCGTTGCCTAAAAGCCCAATGTGGTCAAGTGAAAAGTGAGAATTCATCACCAAAGTTAAAGCGATCTTTGACTACACTGACTAGACAAGACTGTGACTATGCTAGGCAGGGGGCAGGTCTGAGGCCCCACGTATTTGACAAGGGAACTGGACAAACTAGACTATGTTCAGAGAGAATGACGAGGCTGAAGGACACACTGACACTGGACCATAAGGAGTAGTTGAAGGAGCCGGGGACACTTAGCCCCGAAAGGAGAAGTGTTAGCTAGTATGATGACCTTTCTTCAGAGGTTTGATGGACTTCTGTGTAGGAAGGGAAACTAGGTAATGACAATAACTAACATTAACTGAGTACTTACTATGTGCCAAGTACCACACTAACTGTTTTCCATACATTTTCTCATTGAAACTAGCCATCGATGCCATGACAAAAGTGCTATTATCAGACCCATTTCACGGAGGAGGAAATTAAGAAAAGTCGAGTGACTTGCCCAAGGCCATCTCCTAAACGGAGTCAGAAAATGAACCTCGCAGTCTGACTCCTGTGCCTGGGGCTGAACCACCAACCAGAACATGTTCTGTGTGCGGCCCTCAGCAGAACAGGGAGCCATGGTTGGAAGTTAACGGGAGACAGATCTGAAGGCAATACGACAAAGAATTTGTAAACCGGAGGTGCTCAAAAAGAACGCTGGGCAGGTACTCTGGGTGGTAATGAGCCACACACCACCAGAGAGATGAAAGCAGAGTCTGCAAGAGGTATCACACACAATAGTTCGCAAGGAGCAACTCGGCGAACGCCGCACCAAGGAGCTTGTGAGGGACACAAACACAGAGTTGGACCCCACTGCAAACCTACGGAATCAGACACTCCGTGGCAGAACCCAACCATCTGCATTTTAACCCTTGTCTAGTGGCTTTAATGCACACTCAAGTCTGAGAACCACTGGCATAGAAGTTTCTGCACCCTGCCAGCAACTGGACTAGACCTCACCATTCTCCAGAAGTAAGAGATTATTTAACATCCAACCAGATCTTCTTTTAATGTTGAGCACTTCCTAGTAATACCCAGAACACAATGTATCAGTTGCTAGGTTGTACAACTGGCCTCAGGTACCTCAGACATCCTAAGGCTGACAGGATAAATATTTGGGAGCCTGTGGGCCAGAGGCTGCCGCAAGCCCCCCAAGGGGACACAGCCGACACTCTGGTCACTTCAGTGGCTTCATTGGTTTCCAACAAGCCCGTCAAGTTATCCCTATACCATCTTTGTTCATATTGTTCGCACACCTGAAAAATGCTTACCCCTGCCTTTTGAAATTCCACCTCCTTTTAGAGTTTAATTCAAATGTCACTTTGTCCACTGAAGTAAGTGCCCCACACTGTCCTTCACGGGGACAGTCTCCATTTCGTCTCTCATTCCTTCTCTTCTTCTGGGCTTCCTCTCACTTGTGTGGTGCTTACAGCACCGGGCACATTCTGCCTCGGCCAGCACCTTGTCCCTCACCACCAAGCGTGCTCTCTTTGAGAACAGGCCAGCTGGTGCTCTGTCACGTCAACCCTGCAGGGCCCAAGACACAATGACGTTCAGTGAGGAGGGAGCAGAAGCAGCATCTTGAGGAAATCATGTACGCAGGTGTTACACGATGGGCAGATGCACCCTGACTGGAAGGAAGTCCTCTGCCGTTCGCTTTCAAGCCTGAGGTCTTTGCAGAATTTTGAGGGTTTTGCAACAACCAGTGTGAGCACACGTGTGTCTGCTGGTGCTCAAGGGGCCCCAAAGTTGCAGCTCCACAGTTTTGTTATCTTTGACTTTTTTTCATTGTTGCATAGCCTCCAGCTGATGACAAAGACTGAAGGGTGTCATGGCCAAACTTCTGGGTGTCCCACAGAGATGAGCACAAGCAAGTCTCCATTTCAAGGAACAGAGAAGTCATAAATTTGGCCTCTGTTGTAGGGACTGGGATAGAAAATACTAGACCCCATTCAGCAGTTCATGTCTGTGGGGCCTGGTGTCCTATGGCTGTCGTGGACTGGTTCTGGGCCCAGGATGATGGTGAGAGACCTGCAGATGAGAGGAGAGACTCCTCTCCCCCCCCCCCCAGCAATCCCAGCAACCTCCCACCCCCCAGCTGGTTTCCATCCCCCAGGAATCCACACATTCTGTTGTGAAAGCTGAGCAGTTTAACAGAATAAGGACATGGAGCTGATGCCTGTCTCACCTGATAACATGACAATGGCTTTGGTGGGTCCCAGGAAAGGACCACAAACCCCAGAGCACTTTTCAGGTCTAAGGACTACAGAGTACTACAAACCAGGAAATCCCTGTCCACACATGGGTGAGTGACTCTAGATTTGTCATGAAAAATTTCCCTGACCCCTCTTCTTCTGACACTCCTTGGGCTCCTGGGTAGCTTGGCATTTGTCAACAATCACGTCGGTTATTTGTTTCAGAACCATGGGGCTTCTCATTGTGCTGGGTCCTCTCTGGCATGGAGCCTGGCCCAGCCTTGCAGAAGTTAGAACCCAAAACTTCTCACTCTCAGACCGATGCTCTTTCCATCAAGGTGCGTGACACTAGAATTCAGGGATAATCCCAGCAATCTTCCAGTGACCTCCCTTGGACACCAGTGACCAAGGAGGAACAGATCAGAACAGAATGGAAATGGGTTGAAGGGGTCATAGATGGGGAAACAAGGTCAGCCATTCACCCACTCATCCCGCTCCCCCACCCCATGCAGGACCGTTTGGGCTGTCCCCCTCTCCATCTCCCATGCCGCCCTCAGGTTCCCTCACTGTGCCACCCTCTTCCCCCTTCAGCCTGGATCTGCTCTCTCCTCTGTCCTGTCCTTAAGCAAAGCCTTCTCTCAGGAAAAGACTTGATACCCTTCTTTATACTTGAGAGCACATGCTCAGTCATTCTATCATCAGTCTTATCTTCATTATGAATTATCAGTGAAAAATCTTTGTCCCCCAAGGTGAAGAAAACAATTTCAAAGAGTGCTTTTTCTCAGCCCCCTCAGCAGATAGTCTGTCTCTAACACAAAAAGGAAGAGGAAAAGCGGCAGAGGATGAGGTGGAAAAGAAAAAGTTCACAGTGGGGGTGGAGGAGAGAGAGGCAGGAAGACCCCTGATTGCTACAAAAACCCATGCTGTGGTTTTCAAAGACCATATATACAAGTCATGAAGGTGTGAGCAATGACGGAAGTGGGAGACGACCAAAGAACAAGGCAGGGGCTGAAAGCTCAAAGTGCCTTCACCAGAGCCCCCAGGCTAAGAGCAAGAAAGAAGAACTTCTGTCCCAAGGTAATGAGGCCCACTGGGGAACTGGGGTCTGGGAGTGGGAATGGGATGTTGACAGAACTGCTCAGGTAAGGACAGGCTTCCAGTGAGGTCCTTGAGAACCCCTAATTTTTGCAATGCTCTTTACCCTTAGGACGCTAGAAAGAGAAGTGTTACTGTGCCAGCTGGGGCGCCATGCTTGCTCTTCCCGAGTCGGCTTCCAGGGATCCAGGCCCCATTCTGACACTTGCCTCAAACGTGAAAGAACTGTACTGCATGTTCATGGGAGGGAAATCCAGGCAAGCTCCCAAAGTAACAAACCTGACCAAGCACAAATCTCTTATGCTGTCCTAAATCCTACAGGCCGCTTTGTTTTGGTCAGTGTTCATTGGGGATGAATGACAAAGGGTCATTTTTATCAATAAAAAGGACATGGTCACTAGAGGAAAGTTCTCAAGACTTGGATCCACTGTCCTCAGGATCCCTCAAAGCCTGGCCTAGGACAAGCCACTGGGCTCCATGGAGCTTCAGACTGGTCCTGTGAGGCACCCCAAGGGAAGTTATATCCCAGATGTATGCTCTGGGAGGGGGAATGCCAACAAGAGAGGCTTCAGGCCAACTGGCATGTTTTGGCAGAGTAAACTTGTGAATTCCAGAGTGAAAATAATGATTTGGAAATAGTTTTCCACGGGACGCCAGGGTGGTGCAGGTCAATTGACTGTCTGACTCTTGGTTTCAGCTCAGGTTGTGATCTTGGGGTCATGGGATCGACCCACGTAGGCTCCATGCTCATCGAAGAGTCTGCTTGAGATTCTCTCCCTCCTCCCTCCTCTCCCCTCCCCTCTCTCTCTCTGTAAAATGAATGGGTAAATCCAAAAAAAGAAAAAGAAGAACAAGTAGTTTTCCTTGGGGCACCTGTTGTGGCTCAGTCTCTTAAGCAACCGACTCTTGACCTCAGCTCAAGTCTTGATCTCAGGGTCATGAATTAAGGCCCATATAAAAAAAGAAAGAAAGAAAGAGAGTAAGGGAGAAAGAAAGAAAGAAAGGAAGGAAGGAAGGAAGGAAGGAAGGAAGGAAGGAAGGAAGGGTTTTCCTCTAAGTTCCAGAGTTATGCACTTTAGTGGAAGACTTTTCATCTAGAAATCAGGAGAGCTGGTTGCCTCAGTTTCCCTAATTACAAAACAAGGAGCCTGTTCTGTAGGAGTTCTTAACTGAGGGTCCATTCATGAGATTCATAAACCCGAGAGAAACATTATATCTTTATTTCCACCAGTTTCTAGCTGAAAGTTAGCATTTGTTTCAATTATGAATGTAGGCAACCAACCACAATAGAATTTGCCATCAATAGAAATCAGAAACATTTCCAAATCTCATTACAGTTGTTACAGATTTCTCAAAATGTCACATAGATTCATCACTACTATGAGATTATGATGCTTTACTGATGCTAGATCTTAGGAAACACGCTACACTATCCCATGTTCCAATGTTTAGACGACTATTTTGATATAATTTGTTTCCTTTGTTATCCTTTATATTTTGTTTTATTAATTTGTAAATTATTCTGAGAAGGGGACCCACAGGCTTCATCAGACAGCCAAAGGTGTCTGTGGTCTATTTATGTTATGGTTGAGAAGCCCAACTCTGTGTGTCAAGGCAGGTCAGGGCCTCAAGCCTGAGAAAGCAGACAAGTGCTCCAAGGGCCTTCTGAGACTGACTTCAGTTTACTTACTAATCTGTTTCTATTTTAAGGAAGTTGGGTGTGTGGTGGTTGATGAAATCCCATCTCTGGGTCTGGGGCATCTTTTTCAGCTTGGTGGGAGATCTGCAAATCGCAATCTGCAAACAAATATTTGTGAAGCTGTTTGCTAACCTTCCACCTCCTCTGAGAGGTTAGATCAGGACTTTGGTAGCAAAAAGAAGAGCCTCTTCCTTCCAGTCTTTACCCACCAGCAGTGGGTCCACACTCCGCAGAAAATGTCCGGCACAGACCCACGTGTCATTTAATTATAGTAACATTCACAGGAGGGAGCTTTAAACACAGGAGGAGTATAAGGCTGAGCAAGGTTGGTAACATGCCCCAGTTCACATGAAGCTTGGATTTGAGTCTGGGACTCCAGGTGCTTCCTGCTTTCTAAGGTCAGGGAGAAGGAGGGTGTTTACCTCCAGAGGCACATCCTCAGAGTCCATAGGTCCTGGGCACCCAGCATAGTTCAGGGGCCGCGGGGAAGGCTGAAAGGTGACGATGCCAACCTAACCTGGACCCTCATCGTTGCCGACTCCAGGGCTCGCCACGTCTTATGAGGAAGAGGAGACCTGCATCTAGCCTGTGGACCCAGAAAGTCCCCACCTTTCGCTCCCCAACACCTCTTCCCGCTTTGGAGGGGTCTAGTACAGGCTGTGTCCTCAGGACCCACCAGACCGGATCTTGCACCGCCCACACCTCCAGCACTAGCTCAGGTTTTCCCCTGCTGGCCTGCACACCCTACCCCCGCGCCATCTCCGGCTTCAACTAGAAGGCAGCGCCCTCTAGTGGTCATAACGCAGAAGCAACGGTGCCTGCTCCACCCGGCCCTGCCTGCATCATACCGGGGTGCTCCCCCTCCAGGCACCAAGGTCACCTACTCCAAGAGCATCTTTTCCCCATGGCCCCCACCTGCCCAGGCCCCCTGAACGGCCCACGATAAACTTACACGCTCTGCTCCAGCTCGCCCCTAGGCACCACGAAGCGCGGCCACTCCTGCATCAACCCCTGTGAGCCTGCCTGCCACTCTGCCGCTCTCTTCTTGGAAGCGGTCCCTACCACGCCCCTCCCATCCCGCTGCACCAGTCCCTCAGGAAACATGCCTAGAGAGGGGACGTGACCTTCTCAGCATCTCGCAGCTAGCTAATGCACATCCAGGACTTGAAGCCCAATCTCCCCAGACCGTTCCCTGCCTTACCTCACCACCAGATCCCCAGTCAGCAAACATCAGTCAAGGCCCAACTGCATTCCGGTCTTGCAGCCTTTCCAGACCTCTCATTCAGAATTTCTCCTTTCCTATTCCTTGATATACTTTATGACCTTATTATTGTTATCACAGCCTTCCTTGGATTGCAGCCGTTCCTGAATGGCTAGATAGATGTGAGGAGAGGGACAAGGGACATGAAAGACACGCATAACTTGGGAGTTAGAATCCTAGCTCCTTCACTTAGAAGCTGTGATTTTTAAGCTCCTCACAACGTCTCTCTAAGCTTCCATATGCTTGGTAAAAGTGACACATTTTTAAATAACTAGAAAAGCCGTGCTTTATAAGAACTAAACACAATTGTGGATGTGGAGGTGTTTGGGACACTGTAAATTGCTGCAAATATGAGGAAGCATAAAAATAAACATGGCTAACATTTACTGAGTCTTTACTCTATGCCAGCCACTACCCTGGCATTAAACCATGTAAGTAGTTTACATGGGTTGCCTCCTTTAACCCACAGAACAACCCTGGAAAGAGAATATGATCATCATTTTACAGCTCAGTAAGCTGCTTTTCAGAGAGGTTAAGAAACTTGCCAAAGCCAGAGTACAGATGGGTCCTTCTGACTAGAGGCTGCATAGAACCACTGAGAGAGTCAGCCTCTGTTTTAGTTGTCTCTCTGGGCTCTGTGGTGCCTAACACATCATAGTTGTTCAGTGTTTGTCAAATATATCCATTTATTAAGGGCTGAGGATGGTTCCTACCCCAGGAGCCTAAGTATAAGTGTTTCCTTAGACTAGCATCAGTAAGTGTTGGGACACAAGCCGTCTGGTTCCAGAGTCTATACTTTAAACCACAAACCTAGGCTAAATGAATAACTGCGATTCTTCTTCATCTTCCTTTTTCGAGTTTTTTAATTTAAATTCAATTAATTAACATATAATGTATAATCAATTTCAGAGGTGGTGTTCAGTGTTTCATCAGTCTTATATAACACCCAGTGCTCATTACATCACGTACCCTCCTTAATGCCCAGCACTGAGTTTCCCCATCCCCCCACTCACCTTCCCTCCAGCACCCCTGTTTGTTTCCTATGATTAAGACTCTCTGATGGTTTGTCTCCCTCTCTGATTTCATCTTGTTTTATTTTTCCTTCCCTTCCCCTATGTTCCTCTGTTTTGTTTCTTGAATTCCACATATGAGTGAGATCATATGATAGTTGTCTTTCTCTGACAGACTACTTTCGCTTAGCATAATACCCTCCAGTTCCTTCCATGTCCTTGCAAATGGCAAAATTTCATTTCTTTATCTTCCTTTTCAAATCAGATAATACTTTGTGTCTAGACACAAAGCATGTCATTCAATGTTTTGTTTCAAGAGTCAGCAGGACATTCTGGTGGAGACATGGAAGAGCATGAAAGTAAGACAACACACAGGAGAAGGAACACAAGGTCAAGGCTAGGGCAGCAGCCCTGGGGGCCAGACCACTGGGAGTTTTCATTAGGATTATAACAAACTTAGAGGCACCTGAGTGGCTCAGTTGGTTAAGCATCTGCCTTTGGTCAGGTCATGATCCCAGGGTTCTGGGATTGAGTCCCACTCACTTTGGGCTCCCTGCTCATCAGGGAGCCTGCTTCTCTCACTGCCCATCTCCCCTGCTCATTCTATCTCTCTCTCTCTCTATCTCATGCACGTAAAAATAAATAAAACTACTTTTTTAAAAAGTAGTAGTAAGGGCACCTGGGTGGCTCAGTGGGTTAAAGCCTCTGCCTTCGGCTCAGGTCATAAGCCCAGGGACCTGGGATCGAGCCCCACATCGGGCTCTGTCCTCCACGGGGAGTCTGTTTCCTCCTCTCTTTCTGTCTGCCTCTCTACCTACTACTTGTGATCTCTGTCAAATAAATAAATAAAATATTTTTTAAAAATAAAAAAATAAAAAGTAGTAGTACATTCATAAGGTAAAATACATTAAGTGGAACAGTGTTATATGAGGAAAAAAAGCCTCCTTACATTTATGTGCCTCCCAACCCACAGGAACTGCCCTTCCCCGCTTAAAGTTCATCTCTTTTAATATTTTCCACTTAACTTTTGGATACAAAGATCAGAATGGTGGTTGTCAGAGAAGAGGAGACTGAGGGGTGGGTGAAAGGGGTGAAGAGGGTCTGGAGGTACAGACCTCCAGCTGTGAAATGAACAGGTCATGGGGATATGGTGTGCAGCATGGGGACTACAGTGAATGGTATTGTAGTGCACACTTGAAGGTGGCCAGCAAAGTGAATCTTGAAAGTTCTCATCAAAAGAAAAACATTTTTTGGTAAATTTTTATGGTGATGGATGGTGACTAGACTTCCTGTGGTGATCGTTTCACAGTGCATAACTATTGTCAAATCATTACTTGTAACTCATATCATGTATGTCGATTATACCTCTATAAATAGATTAGAAATAATCAAAATCTTCACTGGTAGGAATCTATGAGAATAAATTCACATAATTATGAACACTGTGCAACAACTTTTTTTTTTAAGATTTTATTTATTTATTTATTTGTCAGAGAGAGAGAGAGAGACAGAGAACACAAGCAGGCAGAGTGGCAGGCAGAGGCAGAGAGAGAAGCAGGCTCCCCACTGAGCAAGGAGCCCAATGCGGGACTCGAGCCCAGGACCTTAGGATCATGACCCGAGCCAAAGGCAGCGGCTTAACCGACTGAGCCACCCAGGCGTCCCTGTGCAACAATTTTTAAGGAGGGAAAGTTGTTTATGTACTGATAAGGAATGTCTCCACAGGACACACTGGTAAGTGAAAAAAGCAAAATATAGAACAGAGGATACGGTACGCTATCATTCATTGTTGTTATTGATTTTTTTTTACAAAAGGAAAGATATGGAACCTCTTAAATATACATAGAATATCTCTAGAAGTATCCACAATAAGGCAACATCGGTTGACTCTGGGAAGGGGCAATAGATCACTGGGGGTGGGAGTAGGAAGGATACTTTTAACTACACAGCTCTACCCTTTAACCCTGTGAATGAAATTATCTATCCAAAAACATATAAACTATTAAAGTGTTTAAATATATTTTTAAAACACTTATATAAAGAGAGGGGATTTTAAAAAATAAGAATATTTATTTTATATGCATAGCCCTGCAATTTGCCTTTTTTGACATAATGGTATATTATTGATCCCCCCCCTCAAGCTCATAAAGAACTCATTCTTTTTAATAATACATAATTTTCTACTGTATGAATGATTCAAAATTTATTCAAGGATTTCCAACTGATGAAAACCCAGGTTTTATCTTGCTTTTGCTTTGGGTTCAGTTTGGGTTTTTCGAGATGAGAACATTTTTTCTTAGCTAGGATTAGAAGATATAAACATAAAAAAAGAACATATAAACATAAAAGGCAAGACAATAAAATATTGGAAAAAAGTATAACTCCAACCTGAGGGAAACTTTCTTAAACAATACAGAGAACTACAGATCACTTAAAAGAAAAGATAGATAGATGCACTGTATTTAACTACATGCAAATGTGAATTTTCCTGATGGAAAAAAACATTTTTTCAAGAGACAATGAATTGGGAGAAAATATTTGTTAAAAAAAAAAAGGGTAATATCTCTAATATAGAGAAAAGCTGATTTTTTTTAAAAAGTTGATTTGGGGGGGCGCTTGGGTGGCTCAGTGGGTTAAAGCCTCTGCCTTCAGCTCGGGTCGTGATCCCAGGGTCCTGGGATCGAGCCCCGCGTCGGGCTCTCTGCTCAGCTGGGAGCCTGCTTCCTCCTCTCTCTCTCTCTGCCTGTCTCTCTGCCTACTTGTGATCTCTGTCAAATAAATAAATAAATAAATAATCTTAAAAAAAAATAAAAAGTTGATTTGGGAATAAAAAAAGCAAAGGATATGAACAGGCAATTCATAGAAGAGGAAAAGACGAGTAAATGTATGAAGAGATCCTCACCCTCACTAGTCATGGAAATGCAAAATAAATCAACAGTGAGATCTAATTTTTCATTCATCAAAATTGGCAAAAATGTAAAATATTCAGTCCTAACAAGCGCATTCTTTTTTTTATTTTATTTTATTTTATTTATTTGACAGAGAGAGAGAGATCACAAGTAGGCAAAGAGGCAGGCAGAGAAGAGGGGAAGCAGGCTCCCCGCTGAGCAGAGAGCCTGATGCGGGACGATCCCAGGACCCCGAGACCACGACCCGAGCTGAAGGCAGAGGCTTAACCCACTGAGCCACCCAGGCACCCTAACAAGCGCATTCTTGCTGAATATCTGAATCTCAACCATATTTCTGGGAAGCAATCTGATAATATGTAGTAGAAAAAAAAATGTGTTCCTAGTCTTTGACCTAGTAATGCAACTTAATTTAGAAAAAAATATTCTGAAAATAGAGCCTTTAGTGTCTCTGTCTCTTCCCTCTTTTCTCCTCTCTTCTCTCCAGTGAACCTCACTTGATTAACTTTCTCGCTTCCCAGCCAGCTGGACTCTCATGCCCAAGCCTTCCACCACCAGACTCTAGCCAACTTGAGCTAGTGCCTGGAACATGGAGATGGTCTTGGAGCCCTGGGAGGAGTCCTCATGTGCTTTCAGGAAAGTAAGGCAAGGACATCACTGGAGCCAACATTTCCTTTTCAGGAAAGTGAGGCAAGGACATCATTGGAGCCAACATTTGCTTCAAGTTCCTGTGGCTGCTGACACTGTGCAGGACACTGATGGCACCTGGCAGAGGATGCTTCGCCCTGGCCATTCTGCTGGCAATCATGGACACCCAGCTTGGTGGTGAGGACAGCCCCTCCTCAGATCCCCAGAGCAGAGATAGCCATCAGGGAAAATCCTGGACTCAGGAGGAGGGATGGATCCCAAGGTTTTTTTTTCTGGTAGGGAAGAAAAGGTACTACTCCCTCTTGACTCTAATGGAAAGGTGAAAAATATAGTTATTCTTTTTCTGTTAAAACTAATACTATTGCCCTCCCCATCAGACATTCTGCCTCTGTTATGTGTTGCCAAGAGCCTGGTAATCTGGCCCTCAATCTAAGATACTTTCAGGATCTTATACAGTCTAAATTTATGAAATCCAGGTTTGAGATCCAGATACTACAATGTGTGTCAACTTGGGGTGCCTGGGTGGCTCAGTTGGTTAAGCATCCACCTCTTGATTCAGCGCAGGTCATGATCTCAGGGTCATGAGATCAAGCCCTGCTTTGGGCTCTGTGCTGGACGTGGAGCCTGCTTAGGATTCTCTCTCCCCTTCTCCCTCTGCCTCTCCTCTCTCTGAAATATATAAGTCAGCATTAGCAACCCACTAAACCACTGTGTAGTTCAGTTAATAAAATAGGAACATCAGTATGTGGTTCTAGGGCTATACCGAGGATTAGATGTATATAAATGCACTTTAATAAAGGTCCTATACAAGTTCCACTTGGAGTAGAAATAAAATCTAAACCATTTCTGAATTAACAAATAACTGGGATTACAGGTTTCCCTCAGATACAGGTATAGCCCGTAAACTACTCTTCTAAGAGGTGGTATTTAATGTAGGCTGGGCAGCCGCCTCCTCTGCCTCAACATTTCTGGGTGAGTGCACTTAGTCTATGTGAGTGAACTTCCCCTGGCTAACTCTTCTCCCTTCCCATTCCAGAGGGCATGCAGATCCAAAGCTCATTTCACAAGGAAGGAAAACAACTACGCTTGATCTGTACTTTGCTGTATAAGAAAGAAGAGGCTGAGGGGGTTATAGTGTTTTTGTGCAAGAACAGGTCTTCTGACTGTTTCCCCGAGACCAGCTTGCAGCAACGGAGACTCAAACGGAATCCTGGGAGAGACGGTGTCAGTGAAATACCATCTCATTTGGTGTTCACCATAAACCAAATCACACCATCAGACAGCGGGACCTACCAGTGTTGTGCCATAAGCCGGAAGCCAGACATCCGCCTTCAGGGTCACTTTTTCTCTATTTTAGTCACAGGTGAGCTCTGACATCCCACATGCCACCAGATGAGATAATAAGCAGGGTTGGCAGCTGGAGACAGAAATAGTTACTTCAGGTCCTGGACAGGCGGTCTCTCCTTGGGGCAAGAGTCCTTCCCATGACTCAGTCATTTCCCACCAGTCCCACTGTAGTGGCAAATGCTCACAGCATGAATACAAAAGTGATCTCGTTTTGTCTTTTATTTTAAAAATCTTATTGAGATAAATAATTTCATTTTTATTGACACTGAGACTGGGTTACATGGAGGTAAAGCAATTTGTTCAATTTGTCTTGCTGACCAGTGCCAGTAAAGCAGATAGAGGTCTGAAATTTAGGCTTTCTTGATTCTAATTCAGAGATCTCTCAGAAATGTGGTCCTAGTTCTAAATACAGACACTGAGCCTTCACGCTGTGACAGAGATGAATTTGAGATAAAATGGATGGTTGTCTTAATAAACATTTAGTTGTAAAGAAACAGAAATCTGCTCAAGTTGCCATGGGTTAAAAGGAACAAATAATAAAGCAGGAATAAAGGAATAAAGCCCTCATGAGATCCGGGCTCTGAAACCAGAAAGCCAACAGAACCTAAACAGTGACAGTCTCAATCTCTCTGGGGCAGCAAGGTCTCTCATCTCTGCATATTTCCTTTATTTTATGCATACTCCTCTACTCTGTTACTACTTAGACAAAACCCAAATACGGTCACCTCCAGACTCAGCTTTATATGTGACTTCATCATATGGCCAGGAGAGAGTGACTCTTGTTTCTATATTCCCAAAGGAACAAGGCTTCAAAACTAAGGATTATGTTCTAATTGGAATTCTATACCCAAACAAATTGCAGTCAAATGTAAGGAAAGAATAAAGACAGGCAATGACTCAAAAAAAGAGATTGCCTCCCATGTGATCTTAAGAAGCCACCAGAGGTGTACTTCAAAAAAACAGGAAGTGAACAGGTAGAGTCGATAAAATGGGATCCAGGAAAGTAAGGACTCTAATAGGAGAAAGGAGATAAGAAAATTCTAAAAAGAAAAATGGCCAAAACAATTAGTCCAAAAGGAAAAAGAGAAAGAGGACTCTGGAAGATCTTGAGGAGGTGAAAACAGAATTGATAGATCATCTTTCTGAAGGCCTGTGACAGATTGGATAAAGGATTAAAGATATGGATATGGAAAATTCTGCCTGGTTAAAAAAAAAAAATAAGGTAATCATCATCTCCAGGGAAAACACTAAATTTTACAAAAGGAAACCTATCACGGCACACAACTTGGTTCTGTAATAATGTAACATTTACAGAATCCAAATTACATAACATTCATTTAACTACAATGTGTAATATAATGATTTATGAAAGATGCAGAGAAGGGAAGTGGATAGCAGCTTAAGAGAAACATATCTTCATCTTCTTTAACAGAAAATCAATAGATAATGCCCAAATTTTATCATCAAGAAGTGGTAACATAAGCATACTATTTAGGAATACAGTGAAACATCTCAGAGCTGACAGTGGTTGTCTCGGGGGAATAGGCCTAGGAGGAAAAAAGGACACTGCTATTATTCTTTATGAACTTTCAAATACTGTATTTTAACTTTAAAAAAAATAGAAAACAGGGGCACCTGGGTGGCTCAGTGGGTTAAAGGCTCAGGTCATGATCCCAGGGTCCTGAGATCGAGCCCCACATCGGTCTCTCTGCTCTGCAGGGAGCCTACTTCCTCCTCTCTCTCTCTCTGCCTGCCTCTCTGCCTGCTTGTGATCTCTGTCTGTCAAATAAATAAATAAATAAATAAAAAGAAACAAATAAAAAATAAAATTACACCCCCTCCCAAGTAAAAACCTAGCCCAGTCTTTTAACAAATATTTTAATCATTTCCTATGGTTAGCAGTTAATCCACATTTTCTACATTGTTCTGGATTGATTTATATTTTCTTCCTTGCTTCCTGGTGTCTTCCCCTCTGACCTCACTACAGCATCCAACACTTCACATTCTTTCCCTTAACAAACGCCCATCTTTATTGGCTTCTACGACTCTACTTCCCTGGTTTTCCCGCCTTTCTGGGGGTTCTTTTGCTCCTTCGCTGCCTCCATTTCCCCCTTCCACCTCTCAAACATGAGAATTCATTCGCCAAGACTCATTCCTCACCTCTCTGATCATTCCCCTACTGTTTCTCCCAAGTTCTCATTCACCCTCATGGCTTTAACCTGCCCCTTCTTGCAAAATGATCCACAAATCAACTCCTCCAGCTCTAATCTCTTCCTAAGTTTCAATTTAACATTTTCACTGACAACTGGATTCCTAGCTTCTAACTGCCCTGCCATCTCCTCAGACTCAAACCTATCCTAAGACCCTAGTTCTGCCCATGATTTATGGTCAAAATCTTGGTGCCTTTTTTTCTCTTCTCCATACAGTCGGTTACTAAGTACAACTAGTTCTTCCCCAGTTTTATTCCTTTCTTTCCAAAGGGGCTTTCCAAGTCTTCATTGTCTCACACTTAAAATATTCCAACAGTTGGGGCGCCTGGATGGCTTAGTGGGTTAAAGCCTCTGCCTTTGGCTCAGGTCATGATCCCAGGGTCCTGGAATTGAGCCCTGCCTGCATCAGGCTCTCTGCTCAGCAGGGAGCCTGCTTCCCTTCATCTCTCTCTCTGCCTGCCTCTCTGCCTACTTGTGATCTCTGTCTGTCAAATAAATAAACAAAATCTTAAAAAAAAAAAAAATTCCAATAGTCTTCTGACAAGCTCCTTGGGATCTGACCATGTCTTACTCAACCTTGTATCTCCTCCCACACCTACCTCAGGGCCTGGCACTAAGCTATTACCTAATAAATGATCCATCAACTCTAAATAATATCTCTGCCTCCAAACCAAACAGCCACCTAACCTCTTTCTAAAATGCTAATTTGTACATGCCACACCACCAGTTTTAACGGCTTTTAACTTTCTATGGGGCAAAGTCTAAATTATTTTTGCCTCACTCCAGAGGCTTTTTTAAAATTTCATTCTATTTATGTGAATACTCTCTTCCCGTTTACCTCACGAGGGGAAACTCTTCTGTCATTCTTCTCACACTTCTCATACTGATTGTGCATCCCGCAGACACAGTGCTGAGCTTGGAGAGTAGAATGGGGGGAGCAACAAGGCCCTTACTCCTTATAAACTAATCTATATATAGTCTATAATCTGATCACATTCTTTTAATACATCCTAAGCTTTTCTACTGGTGATGGCGCTCTGTAAGATAAACTGCCTTTCTCAGCCTCTCAGTACTCTGAGACTCTAATACTTAAGCACATGCACCAAATGCAGAGATGATAAACTTCCTCTTGGAAGGTGAAACTAACAAAGCTGGACACGTAACATATAATATCAGTAAATAACGTCTACCGTTCACTGTGGCTTACCATGTGCCAGGCATTGTGCTGAATGATATGTTATTTCATTTAGTCTTCACTGCCTTTTTGAAGTTGCAGCTATTGTTGTCTTGTGAAAAGTCAGGCTCAAAGGTAATTGAGGGTAATTTTATTCAGCTAGTAAATGGTTAATAAAAATCCAGATCTATTCCAAAGCCCAGATTTTAATTTAGGCCAAAGTGCTTGACACACTCCGGAAGACGGTTTTTACGTGAGGGGGCACCCAAGTCCAAGGTACCTAAGCTATTTTAGCTAACAAGACTTGAAAGTTCCTTCAAGGTAGGCTTGTTTGCCTCTCCAGTGTGACACATTCTGTATCTATTTTTTTGCTGTTTTAAGTACCTCATCATCATTACCCAGAAATGTTTAAAAAAATACTTATTTGGGCAATAAATTGTGCTGAGCGTTATCCTTGGAGATCAAAAAAGATGTTCTAAGATGACACAAAAGGAGGTATTAATGATTTCTGAAACCCTCTGCTGATCAATTAATTTTCTTTTGAACTAGAGACAGGGAACTATACAGTGAAAGGACTGAAACGAACAGGACACCCCAAGTTCATTCACAGCAAAGGCATTCTCAGTTCAGGCTTCCTGCAAGAAAACGCCTGGGTGATGCTGGTCACTAGCCTGATGACCTTGGCCCTTCAAGGTATGTTCCAAAGAGTCTTCAGCAGCCCAGGAAATGAGGGTGCTACACCTTTGACATCTTGCTTATCCTCCAGGAGGAGACGGGTAGAAAGGAAGCCTAGAGTGGGAGAGTGAAGGGAGGCCCCTGCTGTCCACAGGAAAACATCAAACCAACATGAGGGCAAAATTGGACCAAAGGGACTCAAGACTATACTAATCAGAGGAAGATGGATGAAACACATTTTCCATGGGATAGGAGATCAGACCTGTTAGGAAAGAAAGCTTGTGGAAGAGGCAAAGAAATAAATACAGCTGCCTCTATTCATGGGACAAACAGAAGGCTACAAGTTAAGGCAACAGATGTTTGCCTATTATGTGAAGATGAACAAGGCAAGAGTCAGACTGGGTCTGGAGGTGGGTTTTAAAAATGCAACTCCTTGGCAAAAGGTGATGGGCAGACTGGGTATAAACACTTGCAGATGAGTCCTCTGAGCATCACATCAATATAGATCCCAGTTTTCCCTATTGGATAAGAGATTGGAACTCACAATGATTTGCCATTACAATTACCAGTAACTGATGGAGCTCTTTGCCCGTCCTTGGCATTTATTTTTTAAGATTTTATTTATTTATTTATTTGTCAGAGAGAGCAAGCGAGCAAGATAGCACACAAGCAGGCAGAGTGGCAGGCAGAGGCGGAGACAGAAGCAGGCTCGCTGCCGAGCAGGGACTCCATCCCAGGACTCTGGGATCATGACCTGAGCCGAAGGCAGCATTTTTTTTTTTTTAATATTTTATTTGAGAGAGAGCACAGCAGAAGAGGAAGACGCAGACTCCTCACTGAGCTGAGAGCCCCACATGGGGCTTGATCCCAGATCCCTGAGATCATGACCTAGGACAAAGGCAGACGCTTAACTGACTGAGCCACTTAGGCACCCCACCTGTCCTTGGAATTCTTAATTCCATGTATTTTTTTTTAAGCTTTCCTCTTATTAATAACTACCACTGTTTGCATGTCACCAGAATGTAGGCTCTATAAATGCAGAGGCTTTGTCACATTTACCCCAGCAAAAAGACAGTACCAGGCATAGTAAGCTCTTAATAAATTTGTTTAAACAATTTGTGTGATAGGTTAGGTTTTACCTATGGTGATTCTTGCACCATACAACCCTTCCAGGCAAACATTCCCTGATTTCTCATCAGTAAACAGGCACAAAGAGCTTAATATTGCTCTAGTTCACAGGAATTAAGAGAGAGGAACTTCTCACTCCAAAACCATGTGTGCTCAGTAATTATCTACTATATGCTAAGTATTTTCTCTCTCCTTCACTACCCTCCCCACTCTTAGATTGCCTCCTCCCATTTCTAGAAATAGGATCACCTAACACTCCCATAGTCCAGACTTTTTTTTTAAAGATTTCTTTGTAGTTTTTTTTTTTTTAAGATTTTATTTATTTGACAGAGAGAGTACAAGCAGGGGGAACAGGAGGAAGAATGAGAAGGCTCCCGCTGAGCACAGAACCCACTATGGGCCTCAATCCCAGGACCCTGGGACCATGACATGAGCTCAAGGCAGATGCTTAACCAACTGAGTGACACAGGCATCCCATTATTCCAGCCTCTTAATTGGAAACTATTACAAGAAAACAGACCTATCTGTGTTACTTGGCAAAGACCTGCCAAATATAAGCCTATGACAGTTGTCAGGAGGAAATTGATGAATATCCAGCAGTTGAACCCTTTAGACCTAATTCTTTTTTTTTTTTTTTTTTTTAAAGATTTTATTTATTTATTTGACAGACAGAGATCACAAGTAGACAGAGAGGCAGGCAGAGAGAGAGAGGGAAGCAGGCTCCCTGCTGAGCAGAGAGCCCGATGTGGGACTCGATCCCAGGACCCTGAGATCATGACCTGAGCCGAAGGCAGCGGCTTAACCCACTGAGCCACCCAGGCGCCCATAGACCTAATTCTTTATTGAATCTAAATTCCCTCAGATAGTTAGCTACTCTGTTAGTAAAATAAATTGTATTTCTTCATACAGAAACAACTACTCTGAGAAGGAAACTGATGCAACCCATGCAACCCATGACTACTTACTATCTTTGGCTCCCAAGTTATGCTAGAGCCAAAACTCTCTCAAAACTCTCAAAAACTCTTTCCAGTCAGGTGAAGAGAATGAACTTTTGATAGGTGATGCCTTTTATCCCTCTCCCCCCCAACTCAAGGCTTAGCAGAACTATGAAAAGGTTAATGTTCAGTAGAATAAAAGAACACACATTTTGTCAGGCCCAGAGAGATCACGTAGATCAAGTTAGGATGCTTACATGTTATCAAAAGGATGAAGGGACGCCTGGGTGGCTCAGGAGGTTAAGCACCTGCCTTCAGCTCAGGTCCTGATCTCAGGGTCCTGAGATAGAGAGCCACATCAGGCTCTCTGCTCAATGGGGAGTTTGCTTCTCCTTCTCCCTCCCTCTCTCAAGTAAACGAATAAAATCTTTAAAAAGAGAGAAAAAAAAAAAGAGAGAGAGGAAGAGAGAAAGAGAAAGAAAGAAAAAGAAAGGAAGGAAGGGGAAGGAAGTAAGGAAGTTAATTAGTTAGTTAGTTAGTTTCCTGCATCTCTGGGCCTCCCTCAGCTCGTAAAACCACCTTCAGTCAGTATCCCTGTCCTATCACTGTGCCAGCCTTCACATGGAAAACCAATGGAACTTTTGGGGAGGCAGCTCTTTCTTTGATTGCCCTACCTTCCCGCAAGGAGAAATCGAAGGTTGGCTTCCTCCCCACCTCGACCAGACCAGTCAGATTTGCTAGAGGTCCCATCTGCACTTTAGCAGTAAGAGACAACTGATTATAGGGAAGGGTTATAACACCTTCCTTCTTTCCATTTCCATTTCCTCCCTAGTCACTAGGACCAATCAAACAATGAATTACATAAGCTATCTAAGTTGTGTGGCAGTAACATAACCTTCCTTTTTCTTTCTACAGCTTTGTAAGCCTTGTGCCAGAAACTTAAAAAAAAAAAAAAAAGTTACAGCAAGATAAACCTGACTCTCTTTAGCTTGCTACCTTTCACATTACAAAATACAGAGAGAAGATACTGCATAGAGGAGGAGATGCTAAATATGCCAAGAATCTGGGGAATGCAAGGTGGGACAAATGAATATATTCCTTGACCTCCCCTCCTCATCACCACAGGAAACCTGCCTTTCTTTCTCCCTCTGTCACCACTTAAAAAAGAAAAAAAAAAAAAAAAAAAAGAACAGCTTTCACAAAAGTGGCTGGTGGACAGTTCTCACTAAAATGCTGGATAAGTCTGCGGTATGTGTGTTTTTGTACCAAAGAAAAAGTCTTCCTCCCCCTTCTCTAACACGGTAAATAAAGAAGGCAGCCAAACAAATTGAGAACACAAGTTTTTTGGGGAAGAAATTTTTATTTAACACTAAAAAGAAGAGAAAAGAAACAAGCAAAGATATGTAGGATAGGAAAAGAGCCAGAGCCCAGTGACTAACTTGGCATGAAAATGAAGAAATGGAGAGACCCCGGCATTCAACAGCACCCCCACAGCACAAGGAAGTTTCGTGCGCCCAGGTGCACCACAAAGCATAACCGCCCAGCTTCAACCAAGTACTTGTCAGCCTCTTTGGTCATATCTCTTTCCTTTTAAATAAATACCCAGAGCAGTATTTGCAGCCTTTTCTTCCCTCCTAAATTCACAAATCCTCTTGTCTTTCTCTTCAGACAGATGACCTTCTGTCATAGTCAAGTGGGGGTAGGGGGAAGGGGCAGAGGACGACATCGACAGGAGACTCTAAGAACACAGACAATTTCACTGGAGCTAAATAGCAAACCATCAAAAGGAAACAGACAGCTTACCTGCGATCCTTGGCCAGGACCTGCCAAATGTGGGAGCAAAGTTTTGTGGGAAGAGAGAGAGAAAAGGCGGAAAAAGATGGCTTAGACCCTTATTAGTGATGGCGTCGACCCTCAAACTAAGGACTCTGGATTTTGTGACTTATGGAGGGTGAAAAAGACTAGGCATGTAGTCAAAACACCTGGATTCAAAATTCTGGCTCTTCAGTGTACCAGCTCTGTGTCCTTGGGCAAATGGAAGTTTTGAGATGCTGTTTCTGTCTACTTATCTCTAAATGGGATCTTGTCTACCCTATCTTCTGTTTCCATAGGATTGCTCTGAGGATCAAATCTGAGATTCTAAATTTTAAACCCACAGCCACTTGAATTCTGACTCCAAAGTCTCCAAAGTTTTCTCCATTAAATTATGTTCACTTTAATCTTTCTATGTTTTATGTAGGTTTTGTTTCTAACTAAATTTAAGCTGCATGCGAGTGGAGATGTTGTCTTTTGCTTTTTACTATTAAAAGAATCTTCTGAAATTTCTCAACATTACATAATCACTGGAAGTCTCACAAAGAAGCCACATCCTACTACAGAAAACGTTGTATCCATTGTGCTATACTAATTATAGTTCACACACAAAAAACTGCAAAAGGATACATGACCGCTGTCCAAGCTTGTTAAGACCTTCAAGAGCATTAGACTATTAGCTCGATGTGAACTAAGCAGAATAAACAAAGCAATAGCAAGTTAGAAGTCCCATTTCTTGTATTCTGCTTATCTCAAGACTTGGTTAAACATAAATGTGAAATACTTATATCCAAATTATTGATACCATTGATTTCAAATAAGCCTACAAATTTTCCATGCATGAATAGGTAGTTTTCTGAATACACATCTTAACCTCAATCCGTATGAGTAATTCACAACCCATGCATGGAATCTGTACTTCCGCGAGGCCATGGAGCTATTATAAGGAATCTGTATTAGAACTATATTTCATCTGAATAAATAATATATCTTACAAATATTTATATACTATATTTCACCTGGATGTAGATTATGGTGTTACTAATAAAGACAAATTGATTTAAAAGCATTACTGATGGGCACCTGGCTGGCTCAGTTGGAAAAACATGACTCTTGATCTCGGGGTCCTGAGTTTGAGGCCCACATGGGGTGTAGAGATTCTTGAGGGGGAAAAAAACACTTAATTTAAAAAAGCATCACTGGAAGCAAATCACAGCAGCTTTTTGTTACATATTTTTTTCATCAAAAGGGTATCTTTTGATGAAAAAAATATAGCTATCTTCATGTTGTGAAGAGTCTAATAATTATTGGACCTTAAAAAAACAGCACACCTTATTAGAGAAGGTAAAGAAGCACAAGCTTATATCCCATGAGTCAGAGATATCCCACTGAAAGAGCAAAGGCAACAAACACAGACTCTACTTCCGTGGACATCAACTAAGAGCAATTTGTCAAAACTTTACAAAGTTTATATGTATATAATCTTAGAGCTGAATGTCTGTAATTCCACTTATCTAGCAGGGAAGATCAAAACCTTATGTCCTTTGGTTAAGACAAGGGTTCTACTTGGATCCTAGAAAATATCTCTAGTTGTACACATTGTATTCTACGCATTTTACTTTAAACCTTGGAGCAGCCCTGTGGTTCCTGGCCTGAGTGCTAAGGCACTGATATTCCAGTTAGCTATGATTCCCCCCACACAATGGCCACTTGTGATACTTCTCTTAACTTCCTGCCTCAGAACTTACGTGAGACTCATTCTGGAAACTCTTTTTTTTTTTTTTAAAGATTTTTTTATTTATTCATTTGACAGATGGAGATCACAAGTAGGTAGAGAGACAGGCAGAGAGAGAGGAGGAAGCAGGCTCCCCACTGAGCAGAGAGCCCGATGCGGGGCTCGATCCCAGGACCCTGGGATCATGACCTGAGCCGAAGGCAGAGGCTTTAAACCACTGAGCCACCCAGGCGCCCCTGGAAACTCTTAATAAGAGTCTTCTCTCCAGGGGTGCCTGGGTGGCTTAGTTGGTTAAGCATCTGCCTTAGGCTCAGGTCATAATTTCAGGGTCCTGGGATGGAGCCCCACATCGGCCTCCCTGCTGAGTGGGGAGTCTGCTTCTCCCTCTCCCTCTGCCTCTGACAACAGTTTGTGCTCTCTCTTCCTCTCTCTCTCTATCTCAAATAAATAAATAAAATCTTAAAAAAAAAAAAAAAAGTCTACTCTCCTAACTCCCAAATCCCTGTTGGTTCATTCTGATGAAAAGCATTTTCATCTTCCCACCTCCCTACCTCAGAAACCAAAGAGGGCTTTCCTCTCATGCTACTATTTATTCATCCTGCTCCTCCCCCTAAAACTGTCTTCCTTCACAGACGTCACCGGCTAGCCTAGATCAGCTCTAACAACCAAGTCTGAAGAGCCCCTCCCTTCCAAAACCCCAAAAGGCTGTTTGGTTGTTGTTTGAAACAGACACATACTATGGTTCCCTCCTGATTAGTTTTTGTTAAGACTGATATAATTTGCTTGAGGAAAAAGCAAGTGGATATCAGATTGAAAGAAACTGAAGCATGCAGAAGGTCAAGAGAAAAGTCAATTTGGTAACAATAATTTCTTAAAAAAAAAAAGGAAAAAAATTAAAAAGCAATAGATAATCGTATTCGTGTTCTACTACTACAGAAACAGAGAATAATGGCTATCCTCAAAGCAATTTTTTCCCCTCAACGCCTAGATGACAAGGCTTTTACCTCCAGTGAATCCCTTGGGCCTCACACCATATAGCAGGATGTCTGGCTGGCAACCAAGCCAACAATGCCCCATAAGAGAGAACTATGGAAATACAAGGGCCTGAAGTATATGTACAGTGAGAGAATTGCACTGAGGCTCCAGCCCTCTGCTGTACCTGCTAACATTACGCTAGTGGCCACCACATCCCTTTCTTCCTCTACTGTGATATGTGCATCTATACATATATTCATTAACGTACACATTCTCTCTCTCTCTCTCTCTCACACACATACATACAAATGTGGAACACAAAGACATAAACAAGGAATTTTTTTCTCCTATTAGTTATTAAACCAAAGTAAGAGTTATCGGGGGAAAAAACAAATTCTTCCCCAGAAAACTTCCTTCGAACTTGAGAAATAATTATTGGACCAGAGAGTGTACTGCTCAAAGAAAACATCTAATAAGCACTTGTTCAACTGCTGCAAATGTTGACAACTAAAATTTATAATAAGCTAAGGAAGCTATTTCATTTATAGCTGTCTCCGCATCTCTTGCCTAGAGATGCTCCTTTTTCTTACAAATTAAAACACTAAGGAAAAGTCTAGGAGTTACAAACAACAGGGACAAAATGCCATTCTCGATTTTCCATGTTTCCCAACTTTTTAGGGAACTGGCAGTAGGAATTTTGAGGGAAAATGAATTTTTTTTTTTAAAGATTTATTATTTTTTTTTTATTTGACAGACAGAGATTACAAGTAGGCAGAGAGGCAGGCAGAGGGAGAGAGAGGAGAAAGCAGGCTCCCTGCTGAGCAGAGAGCCGGATGCGGGGCTCGATCCCAGGTCTCTGGGATCATGACCTGAGCCGAAGGCAGAGGCTTTAACCCACTGAGCCACCCAGGCGCCCCGGGAAAATGAATTTTTAAGGCCAGAGTTATTCTTTCTTCCTGCTCCCAGCTCATTAGCTAAAGTGTTGGGGCACCTGGGTGGCTCAGTTGGTTAAGCCTTTGCCTTCAGCTCAGGTCATGATCTCAGGGTCCTGGGATTGAGCCCCGAATCTGCTCTTCCCACCCAACTTCCCAGTTCTATCCAGCCAGCTAACCTGTAGGAACCTGAGTTAAACAAATCCCTCTGGAAACTACCCAGAAGCAATCATCACTTGGAGGCCAGCAAGGATTTGCCTTTTCAGTTCCCAACTTGTAAGTTTACCAATCTCTAGGACATCTCTCCTAATTATGTGCTAACAAAATAGTTTTCTTCCCTCTTTATTAAAAAAAAAAAGTTTTTTAAAAGATTTTATTTATTCATTTGAGGGACAGAGAGAGCACAAGCAGGGGCAGAGGCAGAGGGAGAAACAGACTTTGCTGAGCCAGGAGCCCAATGTGGGGCTCGATCCCTGGACCTGGAGACGAACTGAGCCAAAGGCAAAGACTTAACCATCTGAACCACCCTGGCATCCCTCTATTTTCAAACTATAGTGGACAAAGGGAAGATAAAGAAAAAAAGGCATTCATGAACAAGGAAACAATCTGTTGGGGTGCCTGGGTGGCTCAGTCAGTTAAGCCTCTGACTCTTAACTGGCTCAGGTCATGATCTTGATCTTGGGGTTGTGAAATCAGCCCCACACTGGGCTCCACACTGCATGCTCTTTTTCCCTCTTGCTCTGCCCTCCCCCACTGTGTGAACACGATCTCTCTAAAAAAAAAAAAAAAAAAAGAAAGAAAGAAAACAATCTGTTTAGCTCTGCATGGAATCCACAGGCCATTTAATATGAACATAAAGGCCTCAAGTATAAGGGTTAAAGATCAGAAAATGCAATTGTTTCCTATTCTGACAATCAGGAAGAATTAAATCATCTCTCCTTTGACTCCTATTAAGGCTCCAGATTCCTGAATCTGTAAACCTTCCAACTGTATAGGAATGAAGTTATCTAAGTCCAGGTTATGCAGCTCTCTGCCTTGGGCACTATATCCAAAACTGTTTGAAACATTTAAGAGCAAGACATTCCTAAAAACTAACTCTTAACCCAAGCCATGTTCCGGTATTAGATCAATGAATCTGCAATGTTTCTTCCTAGAATGGGAGGCATCT